AGCAGAAATCAATGAAACAGAAAATAGAAAGGCTATAGAAAAAACTCAACAAGACCAGCAGTTGGTTTTTTGAAAAGATCAATAAAATTGACAAACCACTGGCAAATTTAATCAAGGAAAAGAGGGAGAGAATACAAATAACACGAATAAGCAGCTCTGGTAGCATAGTGCCTAAGGCACCTTTCTGCAAACCAGAAGGCTGGTGGTTCAAACCCACCAGCCACATCTCGGAAGGAAGGTTGAGCAAATACTTCCATAGTGATACTGCCTCGTAAACCCAAGGAGGGGTTGCTATGTGTCAGGTCCAACTCGACGACGGCATGTAACAACAACAACAACAACTTTCATTATAGCTGGTTTATTGGCCCAGGGTCAAATGAAGGTAGCTTCAGAAAATCTTACCCATCTAATTTCTATTTGCTCTTACTTATGAAATAAATTAATTAGTTAAGGGTGCATATTACCTATGTACAAAAAAAAAAAAAAAAATTTATAATGCTCTCCTCAAAACATTACCCAAAAGACAGGGCTAGCAAAACCTCATCAAATTTGCAGTATTATAATTTTACTCCTTATTAAGAAAACACTAAATATAATTTTCAAAAAAAGTATGGTATAATGTGTAGAGAATACTGTAGCAAACTAAAAAGGAGCAGTTCTTTTGTTTTAAAAATCTGAGCAAACAGATCAGAGGTCAAGGAGTAGGCTGTTCTTTAAAATAACTATGCTACAACACCACTACTTCTATACACTCACCTACTGATCAATATCTGATAAAATTAAGAAATGACCATCTTACCTATTCACACAATGTCATCTGACAATGCACACTGGAGCGAGGTATTATTAGCTCAAAAATAGTAAATGAACTATTTACATTTTAAATGCTGATCAGCAAACTAATAATTTTGATGGCAACTTGCAGTAGAAGCTTTTAAAAGTTCGTAAGTTTCTCTATTTAGAGAGTAGCATACTACTTAATCACCCTCAATTTGCTAGGAAGATTTTTCCTTTTTCTTTTATTTTTTTTTTTTAAAAGTTAACTTCTGAGCTGTCACAGAATTATCACAGTTACAATTGATATGCTTCAAAACCGTATTAACTTCACTATCAGATCCAAAATATTTCAGGTACCTCATCCTGTCAATGAGAAATTGTTCTTTCTTCCACTAACTACAACTTAAAAACTACAATAAAGAATTTTAAATTTCAAAATGATTAAAATGGAACCAAAGACTTTTCAATTTTTCTTTAAAATGCTCATCATCTCTTTTCAAGGAAAAATTAAAAACCAAAAGATTTAACGTTTCTAATAATTCTAGAACTAAACATTTTACCAGCCCAAAGGATGGTTAAAACTATGTGTTCAGATCATGCTCAAATTGGCACAACATAGTACATAAAAATCTTGTTCTGCATCCTATATCTGATATCTGATAAAGAATTTGTATCTTAAAATTTGAGTCTTAAAAGCTTTCAGGTGGCCATCTAAAATGGGAACTACTGGTCTCCTCTCATCTGAAGCAGAGAAGAGTGAAGAACACCTAAGGCATCTGGAAACAATTAGTCCAAAGATAAGATTCACCACGTGGACCTCAATTTCATGATACCAAGACTAGAAGAACTAGATGGTGCCCAGCTACCAATGCCAACCACTCGGAAAGAGATCAAAACTGTAGATCTCGGATAGAGTGGGAGGAAAACTGGGAAACAAAATTAAGAAACACAAAATGACCAGAATTACTGGCTGGATAGAGATTGGTGGAAGCCCTGAGAGATGACCCCAGGTTATTATTCAGGCCTGGAAATGGACTCACTTCCATGGATTGGCTCTCAGCCCAACAGGAGAAAGACCTACATGCAGAACACTTACTCCAGGGTAATGCACCCACCTACTCTAGGGAGATGAACCCCTTAGATCAATCAGCCATGAGACATCAGAGGGGCAGCATTCACATAGAGGGAAAGCTGGACAGATAGGAATGCACAGATAAGAAGGGCTCAGGGAGGGGGCAGTGATGGGGAGGAGAGTATTTTATGGTTGGGGAGGGTAATAAGGGTCGTGAAATCAAATGTTGAATACAAAACAAATCTGCCTTGTAAATTTGTACCCCAAGTATAAAAACAACAACAACAACAAAAACTATCTGTTCAGACAAGAAAATAGTATTAAAGCTTTTTATAACTTATGTCTTATAATCAGATTAATAAAAATCTGATTCATAAAATACTGACAAAAATCTGCTTAAGATTTCCAAATGAAATCTAGTGCATAACTAACAATGAGAATAATAATGCCCAAACTTCTCCCACCTAAAACAAAACTGTTATCTAACTATATTACTTACGTAATAGATGGATCCACTTGTTTGTAAGCATGGGCAGCACAAGACCCACAGTACGTATATCCTGCATGGCTACAAAAAAGAAATATTTTTAAAAGTTTAATCATCAGATTCAGAATCAAAATATTCTGGAAAAAAACTTTTGAAAGAAATAAATTATGATTAACATAACAAAATTGAATATATAGAACAAAAGGCAATGAAGGTAATAACTTCCAGAAAATAGGGAATATATAATTGCTCCATACCATGGTCCAATTTTATACTTTGAATTTATTTGCAATTTCTTTTGGGGGGGTGTTGAAGGACAATTACATTTGAAGAAGCTCATGGCTAACTTGAAGTTGCTAATGTAACATTAATATATGACTTTTTCATACTCTTCTTCAATAGCATAGACAGATGATTACAGAATAATAAAACCAACAGTAAGTCAAATCAGACCAAACCAAATACCCTACAACTGATAACTCATTTTTTTCTGTGTCTTCAGTGCTATGACAACTAACCTGTCTTATACCTTTCATTTTCTTGCCCTAGTATGCTTCTGGTCTCAGCATTTGGTTGGTTCTCTTATCACCTACCCAACAACTTTAGTTCCTGATATCATTTTTCTTTCATTATTCACTCTAGTTTCATGAGTCTAGAAGCCATTTCCCTTGGTGCTTATTAGTGTATGTAGCTGACTGTACACTGGTCAATGTTTAACAACTGGCTCTTTAGTGGTAAAAGAAAAAATACGCCTATTCATATGTACATAAGCTTATTGTCAATTTTAAAGAGAGAAAAATGATACACATTACATAATTTTACAAATGATAAATGATTGTTATATATTTATGTATACAGAGCCAAGTGATTACCATAGAATGCTTTCACTGATTTTTGCTAAATATTTGTATCTATAGACAATCTACGATTGCAACTGACAAACAGCTAAAACAATGAAGACATATGCCTGAGTTTCATTCATTCATCAATAACTTGAAAGATGTTTTTGCTGAACAGGATAACAGTTCTCAAATACTAGAAGGAGTATTTCCTTACCTTTTTTGTGTGTGAGATATTCATAAGGTAAACGTTACAGACATAATTTTAAATTTAATCTGCATTATTATAAATATTTTCTCCATCACTTTCTCAATTGTATATAATGAACAGTCAATAAATTAAAGCCCTGATTCATAGCATTTGCTGATTCGTATGGAGTAAATCTTTGCTACCATGGCCAATTTCAAGCCATACAATGACGGCACTGAATGCTGAGTTGAGAAAAGGTGCACAACAAACTGAAAAGACAAAACACAGACTAAGAGAAAATATTTGTAAAGCGTATATCTGATAAAGAATTTGTTATCTGAAATTATAAACAATTCTCGCAATTCAGTAAGAACTCAAAATTTAAAAAGTAGATAAAAAATGTGAACAGACACTTCATCACAGTACAAACTGTGGTGGCAAATAAGCACATAAAGGTATTCTCAACTTCATTTATCGTAAGGAAAATGCAAATTAAAACTAAAATGAGCTACCACTACACACACCCACTAGACTATTTAAAATTAAAGACTGACCGTACCAAGTATGGCAAGGAAGTAGAAGGACTGAAATTCTCATAAACTGCCTGTGAGAATATAAAATAGTACAACTATTTTGGAAAAACAGGCGATTTCTTAGAAAGTTAAACATACTCTTACCATATGACCCAGTCACTCTACTTCAAAGTATTACCCAAGATAAATGAAACATTATGTCCACACCAACGTTCATAAACAGATTTATATGTGAAACAAGCACATACCCATCAACAGGTGAATGGATAAATAAATTGTGGTATATTCATACAGTATTAATATTCCTTAGCAATGAAAAGGTATGAACTAATGAGATGCTCAAAATAATTATGCTCAGTAAAAGAAGCCAGACAAAAAGAATACATACAATATAATTCCTTTTATATAAAACTCTAGGAGCTCTGGTAGCATAGTGCCTAAGGCACTTGACTGCTAACCAGAAGGCTGGTGGTTCAAACCCACCAACCACTCCTCGGAAGGAAGGTTGGGCAATCCTACTTCTGTAGTGTACTGCCTCGGAAACATGAGTTGGGGCCGACTCGACGGCACATAACAACAACAACATATAAAAGTCTAGAAAATGCAAACTAATCCACAGTGACAAAGTAAATCAGTGTCTCCTAGAAGAGAGGAAAGAGCAGAGAGAGGTGCAGGAAGAAAAAGCAATGAAAGGGAATAAGAAAACCTTTTTGGGTGATGAGTATGTTCATAATCCATTATCTTAGCTGTGGTGATAGCTTCATCACAGGTGTACACATATGTCAAAAGGTATACTTTAAATATATGTAGTTTGTTGTATATTAATCATACCACAATGCAGCTGTGTTTATTTTAAATTGGTCCTCATCACAACTAGATTAAACTATGAATAGAGAAAAAGAAACAAACAAATCATAGCAACACAAAACCAAAACCAAACCCACTGCCATCAAGTCAATTCTCACTCATGGTGACCCTCACTGGGTTTCCGAAGGGGTCAATCTTTATGGAAGTACCCTACCCACTCTTGCTTCCAGGGAGTGGCTGGTGGGTTTCAACTACAACCTCTGGTTAGCAATCAGATGCCTTAGGTACTACTGTGCTACCAGAACTCCTTACAGCAATACAAGAGAGTGCAAAATGACATGGGACATACACTAACAAGCACAATGAAATCAATGAAGGCTTGACTACTCAGACTAATAGTTGCCCTTCTATCTCTATACATCTTGCACAGGAGCCTATTAAATTACCTCAGTACAGCAATATGCTGACAACTCCAATCGGATCGTAGTCAGAAAAAAATATAAGTAGGTCTTTGACTCGGCACGTTCAGTTTTGCTGTCATCTTGTACTGATATTGATATTTGACCCTCATCAGGGTCTATTTTATCTCCATACGTACCTAGTCTCCCAGTGCCTGAGACTACAATAGTGACCTCTCAGATTTATAACACCTGTTTCTGATCTTACAGGCTCCCATTGTCAATTCAGAAGTATGTTATCTTGCCTATCCATGAGGACCTTAAAAACCACTTAGTCCATCTTGCTGTCTGCCAGTCTGTCTCAAACCTTCATGGCATACTTATTCCTGGCCCAGACACATGGTAAATGGACAAAACCATAGCAATAATCATCACATCTTGCCACTGACCTTCTGTTCCTACATTCTCTATTGTGAGTGAATATACATGGAAACAATTTGAGCTCTGATAATTCAAATATGTACCATAAAGTGTGTCCTACTCAAGTCTTTCACAAGCTCTTAAAATCCTTGACTGCAAAGTCATGCCTGCTAGTTTTTCCAAGTTACTCTGGTTCCCAACATATCTTCTAATGAAGGCATATACAAAATGAGAATGCTCTAATACCTGTAACTTGTGTCATTAGGCTAAAACTATGCCTGTTAAAACCGATCCTTCTTTTACAAGGTAGTACTTTTGCTTCTCCCTTTACTCCCAATACAGCATATCCTTCACATCAGCAAGGCCAACTCCTGATGCTATAAACTAGCTTGCCCCACACAGCTACAATCACATGATCTTGCAAGGCCACTGCCAATGCTCATTCACTGGTTAAGTGATGATTTCCCACTCAGCAACCTTACAAGGTTATAATTGTATAATGTGGTTATAATTCAAATTCCTACTTCAGGAAAATTACCAATTACTACATGAAACAGACTTCACTTGTTCACTCCGGGACCTTCAAAGTCATAGATGAATAGTATAAACTGTGAATCCAAGAAGTCTATCATACATTCTATGTGAGGCTTTTCATCACAGAGGATACAGGGAAATAATGAAAGATTACTGAACTAGGATTCTACAAAACCAGATTTTAGTAGGCTCAGTTCTACTTAATAATAACAATAAGGCAAAAATAAAAAGATTAAACTAGATGAAATGAGAATATAGGACCAGAAGAAACAAAATCTCCTCCAATAATGAAAATCTATTATTCAAATAAATAAATAAAAAGTCTGTAATACATGATCTACTTGAGCTGAAGCAAGGTCTAGAAAGCTAGAAACCAAGTTATAAAACACTTGTGAACAGATAAGATAAACCAGACTGACACTGGATCTTAACAGTTTGTAGAGCAGCAGCCTCCTCCACACTGCCTCTCTTAATTTCATTTTGCTGTACTTTCTATTTTTCCTTTCATAGACATTGTTTAACGGACCTCACAATTCCTGCTTCAAAAGAAAATAATAGGTGTTTATATTTAATGAATTGTTCAAATTAGATAGTCATTATTTAGAGTATTTACTTTTTACAAAATTGAATCTCACAAACATTAGGTAAACAATACTATTATGAGTTAAGGAAAGCTATTAAAGTTATTCAGGTCAAATAAGATTAAACAAACCACAAAGATGCATATCTGATTTTTTTTCACTGCTGGGATATATACGATTTGGGATATTGCCGTGAATATCTTATTGCCTAACATAAATAAAAAGAGTTGTTTTGAAGTAGTGGTTAAAGCATTCAGCAGCTAACCAAAAGGCCAGGGTTCAAACCCACCATCCAATCCAGGGAAGAAGATGAGGTAGTCTGGTTCCTTGAAGATTGATAGCCTTAGAAGTCCTATAGAGTAGTTCTATTCTGTTGCTATGAGTCAGATCAATTCGATAGCAGTGTTTTTTTAAAAAATATTATTATTATTAAGCCTCAGCAATAAATAAAAGTATATACACCAAGTAAATAATTTAAATAGCTATATAATTTCTGAAGATTCACTGTTTCATGATATACACTGGTAGAGCACCACAGGCTGTTCTTGTTGTTGTTAGGTGCCATCAAGTCAGTTTCAACTCGTATACACATGACCCTATACACAACAGAACAAAAACATTGCCCAGTCCTATGCCATCCTTCACAATTGTTGCTATGCTTGAGCCCACTGTTGCAGCCACTGTGTCAACTATACCAAGCATAACATCTGTCAGAGATTGGACCCTCCTCACAACATGACCAAAGTATGAGAAATGAAGTTTGGTCATTCTTGCTTACA